CAGGCGCCCGCCACAACTTCTGGCTATTTTTTGGTTGCAGCCATCATTGTTTGGTGGGCCCGGGCTGGATTCGAACCCACCACCTTAGGTGTATATGGCTGGCGCCTTAGCCACTTGAGCCACAGGCACCAAGCCAAAACTCCTGGTTTTGAGTGATTCTCCTGCCTCAGCCTCCCAAGGAGCTGGGACTGTGGATGCCCACCACAACTATTTTTTTGTTGCAGTTGTCATTGTTTATAAGGCCCAGGCCAGGTTTAAGCCCACCAGCCCTGGGGTATGTGGCTAGCACCCTAGCTGCTGAGCTATAGGCGCCGAGCCAAGAGGTTCATTTTTAATACCTCCTTTCAGAACCATTGTGTACTAAAGCCCAGCATTGCCTTTGTAAGTTCTGTCTGCGTGGAGGGTCTGAGTGAAGGTGCTGTGCTCACTCTCAGGAAGCCTCTCAGGTCGCTTTACATGCTGGCTCTGATCCGGCACCGCCTGCCCTTCCTGTCCTGCGACTTCTCATCTGGGTGGTCACGGCTCCCATGTTCACTGTGTAGCTCCAGCCCAGTGCAGCCTGCTCTGGGGCACAGACTTGCACCAACTGTGTTGAAGGGAAACAGCAGTGGCCACAGTCTCCTATCCCTTCATAGAGAAGGACCTGGTGGTACAGGAGGGCCTTGGAGAGCTGCCCAGGTGGTGGCCATGCCTCTCCTAGCACCGGTGGTTCAGGAGCACATCCACGACTGCATTTCATGTAAATTCTGGACAGTCCATTTTCCAGAATTCCCATCTGCACACAGCCCACCCAGGCACAACCTCACATAGCGTCTCCATGATTGTTCCAGGGTCCGACAGTCTGGCGATGCCTTTGAGGGATGCAGTGGTCGCAGCCTCATCCCTTTGGACACATGTCAGCAGGTGTATTTCAGAATAAGATGCAGAGCCTCACTGCAGACCTCATGTAAAAGACAGAATCGTTGCAGCCTCCAGCTGGGTGTGGGCACTGTCCACGTGGCCTACCTGGGGGATGTGAGTTGTTGATTAAAATGAAGCTCCCCTTCCGGGAGATGAAGCTCGTGCCCCGAAGCTGGACCTCAAGCCGTCGATGATGGCATCTAGGGGGCAGGTAGCCCGGGCTGTCTGAGCTCCAGCAGGAGCAGCGTTCCCAGCCTGTGTTCCAGCCTAGGGGTTCTTGTACTCCTGCTACCACCTTTGTGTCTGGAACTGGAGTCAGTGTTCCCGATGTGTCCTTCAGTAACCTATCTGTGTGGTCAGAGGCCCTGCCGGTAGGCTTTGCCACCTCCTCTGTCCAGTGAAAATCTCCGTTCTTTTTCTCTGCAGGCTTTGATTCTGATAACTCTTCTGGGGAATTTTCAGAGACAAATCAGAAAGTCACTAGAAAGACTGAGTTGGATACTAGCAAAAGTAACAGAATTGGGAAAATTGGGGAGCGACCCCTTCAAGAGAATGGAATTCAAAAACACAGGTATGTTGTCTCACATGGATTGTTTTAGAATTTTCTAAAGTACATCCATGGTCATCCCCCAAAATATCCCGCAGCACCCCCCCTCAGGAGTAGTGAGCTGGAGTCCGCCTCCCACATTCCCCTGGGCGGCTCCTCTAAGCCAGCCTCCAGCCTGCCGGTGCTGCTCTGGGGCCTTGGCACCTCTGCTTGGCTCCTGTGATCTGTGGGTGGCAGTTTTCTGACCAGTGATTCTCATCTATGAGATAACGATGCTCTTCTCCCTGGCCTGGAACTTGTGGTGAGAGTGGATGGGGGCGTGGGCTCTGCTCAGGGCCTGGCAAACAGCATGCAGGGGCCTCTGATCATTAGAGCCCTTTCTGATTTCATTCCGACCTGTCTGCTTTTCCCAGACAACCAGATTAATCCTTTGTCTCAGCTGAGCTCTGACCCCATGAAGACAGGAAGGGTTTGGGGAGCCCAGTGCAGCAAGACCTCGTCCCATTGTCCTCCCACCATTGTGAGCACTGCCATGACCTGATGATGGTGCCTTCCAGATGCAGGCAGGGCAGGCAATGGGGGGAGGGCAACAGGTACCTGTGAGCTGGTGGCCAGGGAGGGCAGGGCTCTGTCACACCTGTGGGCCCGCCCGCCTCTCCTCAGGGCTGTACCTGGTGGTGGTCCATGTGCCTGCTCGGTGGGTCCTCGTGGGTGCCTCAGTGTGCCTTGGTCACCTGCCATTCATCTACTTGCCCAGCAGCTGTGGGAGCCCTTCACATGTGCTGATGGCAGGGAGGGCCTCTCCATGGGGTCTGGGAGCCCTTCACATGTGCTGAGGGCAGGGAGGGCTTCTCTGCAGGGTCTGGGAGCCCTTCACATGTGCTGAGGGCAGGGAGGGCTTCTCTGCAGGGTCTGGGAGCCCTTCACACGTGCTGATGGCAGGGAGGGCCTCTCCATGGGGTCTGGGAGC